CACGGTGCTGTGTCGCTTACATAAATTGTAAATACTCTGAATAAAGGAAGGGAACATAAATTGATAAATGAAAAAAAAAAAAAAAATTTGCCAAAATTTTGTCCAGAGCAAATATTTGTCGAATTTGAAATCTCCATGTACTCAAAATTGAAACAGCATATACTATTTCCATGCATATTTGAGCATAATGCATAGTTTGAAACATTATGGAGAAGGAGAAATGGGTGAACGGTTTGTTCGTTGACTGTTGACGGGATTCGAATCAATAACCTCCGGATTGAGATATGTGGTAAAATGAATCATGTTTCTGGCTTTATGGGAACACCAAAAAATTGGGTAATTGTAATGGAAGAACTTTTGTGGGGAATTTGGTAAAATTAACAACAGCATGTGGTTTTATAATATGTGATAGTTTATATTATTTTTTAATTTATATAATATGTAATGTTTAAGTGAAATGTGATAAAATTTGTTAGATATGGTAAATTTTGATCAGTTTATTATGATACCTTAGAGCGTGGCATAAAAACCATTTATTTACTTCTCAATTTCGTATTTTTTACTAAATGTGCAATAAAACTATGATTTTTAAAGTCAGAATTTCCGTTAAACCGTTATCATATGATAGGATAAATTACCAAATGGATGGTTTAAAAGCTGCATATCTTGGATTTTAATATCAGAAATATGTTGTCTTTTTTTACCAGAAATGTTATTACCATTCAATACGGAAAATATTCCAGATTTTTTTTTGCCATGTATTAATTTCAAAAAAAATATAGCAATAAAATTTGATTTAAAAAAAACATTTACATTACGTTTTGTTAATGCAGCTTGTTAGTTTATGAACTTCATTGTTAGTTTCATAAAATTTATATGTTTTAAATTTTTTAACAGTTAGCGACTTATTTCAAACTGCTGATGTCTCGGAAGTTTGTAAACTTTTGAAAAAAACTGTATGCAAATTAGTGTTTCATGAAAATCGGGATAAAATAAATTTCAGTCTTTGAACAGAGTATTGAATTTCCGTGATTTCAATTAGTTTATTTACTGACTTAAGTTTATATTATGGTCTAATATGAAAATAAAGTACATTAAATTATACAATATGCTTTTGCCCTGTCACTGTATAGAAAATTTAATATTAATAACTTAACGATAGTATAATTAATAATACCTTAGCGTAATAATAGCTCAATATTAATAATGACTTACAACTTACATTATGCTGATATAACTTGTAATAATAAATTTCAGTACATAAAGTAAAAGTGTCTGATAATATTGCCGTATTTGCACGGTAATAAAATTTCTGGTAAAATATGATAATTCTGATAATAAAAAAAAACTATGCAGTATTTATGCAAATGGTAATTTTTTCTCTCATATGGTAACGGTTTACGCTATTATATTATTTCGTTATTAGTATTATTTTCTTATTATAACACGTTTAGTAAAGAATACAAAACTTGAAAGTAAATTTAACCAAATAAATGGTTTTTATGCCATGCTTTATGGTATCATTACAAAATTAGCAAATTTTACCACATTTACTTCCAAAGAGTATTATTAAAAAAACATATTTTTATGTTTTACTACCAAACTATAACCAAAGCCACTTCCATGCTTTTTAGTCTTCCCATATAGGCAGAAATATGGTAATTTTTGTCATATTCTGGTAGTTTTGACCACGATTCTTTTCGCAATATTGACTTATTTAAATGACTAGTATTAACACATTTGTAAAGCAACAATCTTTTTATACTTGAGTATTACTTTTTCAAAGAGAAAAGGAAAGCACATTTCTCTACCAACTGGCAAGGTTTGGGGTTCTTCATACTGTTGCCACATATTCAATTAAATACCCTCTTGCTGAGCTATAATACACCGAAAACTTTTTCTCTCGGTTAATACTGATAACAATACTGTAAAAAATGAGTACACAAATATGACGAAACTTCCTTCGTTTTTGACATATTACCTGTTATGTGCCCTGCACAAGAATTTCGTCGAAGTGACGTAGAGGAAAAGAATTTTACCAAATATAAATGAATATTTCGTTATTCTATTTCTTTAAATAAAACTTTTATGGCCAAATTAATCTAACATTTAACTT